AAGATGAAGAAAGTATGAATTATCCCCTGATAATTTTAAGTAAATCTTAACACTGTTAAATCCCAATCTGATAATCTTAAGTTCTGATAATTTTAAGTAAATCATCAATCATCCTGATAATTTTAAGTAAATCAAAAAAATCGATAATTTAAGAAATCTATCTGGAAATCAAGTTAAAAAAAAAAAGTGATGAATACATGAAATCTGATAATTTTAAGTGTAACATTTTGAAACACGAATATTGACATGGAGTATGTTTAATTAACAGTCCTCCTTAACGCTGTCTTTAACAACCTGTCGGAAATATCAGACCTAATGTTCACAGCACATCTTCATATGATTTTAAAAGGATCATTCCTGTGGCCCGAGTGTGCATTCTGGACCTCTTACTAGTCGTCAAACAACCCATTAAGCAACTGGGTAGCTTGTTATTTATAAATTCCACAAGGAAGCCGCGCAGAGACAGTGAATCGGGTGAGAAAAACTTACTATTTACATATACAGATAATATATGAGATTCATATTTTACCGTCTCAGAATAATGTTGTTTTTTTTTTTTTTTATTTTTTTTATTATAGATTATCGAAAACTCTTTTATGTCTTTATATTTTTTTCTTTTTGTCAAAAAATTTAATTATTAACGTCATCGATGTTTGGTTATCGTGATTGTACTAAAGTTATACCAGTTTCAATTGTTTTTTTTAAGGAAAATACCTCATGTTACAAGTAATAATACTGGTTAAAGACAAAACATTGTAATATTTCCAAACTTATTTATATAATTTTAATGGCTCATATTATTTGTCAGTGAAAATGTTTGCGAAATATGACGAGCCAGTCTCAGGCTTCCTTACAAACAAGAACATTCCATTCGCAGAATACTGGATACTATGCATGCATTGTCTGTAAAATTGCAGTGCTCGTACCGTAGAGAAGTACCAATTGGAAATGTGGGGAACTGTACAATTAGGAGCAAAAGTCCGACCACACCTACAGTCTGGCAAATGTTTCTATGCGTCGCACATAGATGTCGCAGCATTCGTCTTATCCAAAGTAAAACACAGACGCAGGGGGCGGGGAAGGGATGAAGAGGAACAGGGATGGAGGAGAGGGACAGCAACAGGTTTGGAATTCTAGGGAAATTCGATGTTGTTTTTTTATTTGTTTTTATTTTTATTTATTTATTTGCTTATATAGCTTTTATTAGGTCATAAGCATTTGAAAAAACATTTACTTACGGATTGTGACAGAAGTCTAATTGGACTAAATGATTACATTATTTGAATCAGCTTCCGGCTCAATGTAATTAAAGAATTAACCAATCCCAGCTGTCATAGAAAATGGGTTTGTTTGTAGTATGACTCATTTTCTATTGAAGTTTTGGGGTAGACTAATGTATTTTGAAATGACTTTTTAGTGTACTCTTTTGCCCACTCTCTGGGAAAGGAGGGGGGCGGCCGCCACCTCACTGTAGGATGGAGGGGGGCAGGATCCAGCTTCTGCCCCCCACTACACAATTGATGAGGGAATGCCCTGTAAACAAACAAACAGCGCAGTTTCTTAGTTACCCAGTTATTGAGAACACTGACCCCTGCAACTGAGAGGGCAACTACAGGTGTTCGAAATGAAATAACCATTATGTCAATTATTATCTAAATAAAAATGTCTGATATTATCTCTTTAAAACTGCAAAAATCCTGAACCCCGGCTATTTTCTTGGGGAAACCTACTTTGACCCCCACTTCAAACTTCTTACGTCTATTGTGTGTGTGTGTGTGTGTGTGTGTGTGTGTGTGTGTGTGTGTGTGTGTGTGTGTGTGTGTTGTGTGTGTGTGTGTGTGTGTGTGTGTGTGTGTGTGTGTGTGTGTGTGTGTGTGTGTATGTGTGTGTGTGTGTGTACAATATACCTATAAACAAAACAATAAAAGTAAAGCATAGACACCTTAGTAGTACTACCGTTATCTTCTGCGTATCTTAAATACCTACTAGAATTATTCGTAATATACCAGTTTCATAACTACATCGCTACATCATCAATAAACAGTAATTCTGGAGAGAAAGGGAGGTCGAGTATAAATTGGTCAGAACATATTAATTGGTACCTAACTGTTGTTGTTTTTTAATATACTAATACGAATTTACAGAAAAGACGGGAAAGTTAAAAGAACTGAATCTTGGAATTGAAATTAAAAAAGTAAATAGATAAATAATGAGAACTTTTATACCTGAATCGTGCATTATAGTATTCGGATTTTGTATATTGTAGATGTAAAGGTTTATAAAAAGTAAAAAAAAAATAAATGAAGTAGTCAGTGGATAAACAAACAAAATTTATTAGTCGTACAAGTTAGCATGAATTTCTAGCAGTTAGGAAAGGTTAAATTCTCTCGGTCTGACTGTTTCCTTTCTCTCGTAACCCCCTTTTCTCTCTCTTTCTTTCTCCCTCCCTCTCTGTTTCCTTTCGCTTTCTCTCGCTCTGTCTGTCTCCTTTCTTTCGCAACCCCCCCCCTCTCTCTCTCTCTCTCTCTCTCTCTCTCTCTCTCTCTCTCTCTCTCTCTCTCTCTCTCTCTCTCTCTCTCTCTCTCTCTCTCTCTCTCTCTCTCTCTCTGTTACCATATGCGAGGTATATGATAAGCCTATGTTTATATACATGTATATATATACATACATACATTCACACACACACACACACACACACACACACACACACACACACCACACACACACACACACACACACACACACACACACACACAACACATACAACATATATATGTTCATACATACTTATATATACGTATATACATATATATTAATATATTGATTTCGAAAAACCTATTTCTTTAGTATCATTTGAATGAGGGAGCACTTTAACACTACCCGGGGCACCTTGAATCAGACACCGCTTTTTGGGTTCAGAAACCTGACATTTTTCAAATTATATCTGTCAAAGTAATTTTCTTGTCGTTAAACGAATACCAAGGACCACAATATGCAGACAGCATTAAACAGTCTCATAAAAACTTTTTTTCTCTTTTTATCATCATCCATCAATCAATCATCAAATAGATAGATACCGTCGTGAAAACACACCTGGTAATACCTGGCTGCCAAACAGCAACTCATAAGCATGGTAGTTCCTAAGCGCTCGATCAGGGACAATACATCAGTGCCATCTTTTGGATGTAATTGCTATCATGAGTGCTTGGTTGCCATTGGTCTAGTTTTGCCCATTCTCCTCATAAAACATTTATTTCTAGTTATGTATTTTATTCTTTCTCTTTATTATTGCCTTGTTCGTTTTATATCTCACTGTTCCAGTTGAACCTTTGCAGGAAAAGACTAAGAAAAAGGTAGAATGCCCAGTAAATGCAGAATAAAATTAGAAACTTGTAAAACGAGATATATTTGTTCTTATTCGGGCAGTAACCTTCTTCCTGGAACTTCTCAATAGCGTTTAGTATTTTTTGGTTTTCTTTTTTGACAGTTTTTGTATGTCTCAAAAGTAAGTGTGTGTGTGTGTGTGTGTGTTTTTATATATATGTATATATATATATATATAATAGATAGATAGATAATAGATATGTATATATATATAGATAGTAGATAGATATATAGATATATATGTGTATATATATATATATATATATATATATATATATATATAATTCTATGTTGAATATGTTTTTAGTGCTATGCTGTGATATGTATTATATGTGTGTTTTCCATTTTATTATTTCTTTATATATGACCATATATAAAGAGTCTAGTGCATTATATATATCAAATTGAATTATAACTTGGAAATCTATACTAACATAACTTGAATCAATCCTATTTTGCAGAACTGAACCAATATATGATTGTATATATGAATATGTGATTACGTATACCTGAATTGGGATAATTTTGTACATCAAGTATTGCATATTACAAAGAATGTGAAAATCTTTTTTATATCTGTTTGGATATCAATTCATGATTAAGGAGAGAAAATAATCTACTATCTCTTTAATCAAACATTCTTTGCATTCATTTTATGAATATTATATGCAGCTGTATTTAGGATTATTATGATATATATTTGTATATTGTAATGAATATCCGATGTAAATTGGAAATAAAGTTTTTCTTATTATTTTATTATTATTCTTATTGGACAGCTATTTGCACGGTTTAGTGAACTGACAGCAGATGGCGTGCGTTTCTCCGTGTCACCAACGCACACCCACACAAGGTCTATATGAGTGTGGCCCTTGCACACACACACCACACACACACACACACACACACACACACACACACACACACACACACACACACACACACACACACACACACACACACACACACACACACACACACACACACAACACACACATGCACGCACACACACGCATGCACGCACGCACGCACACGCATGCACGCAGGGACGCACGCACACACACGCACGCGCACACACACACACATACACACACACAAATGCACACACACACACACTCACATGACACACACATGCACACATGCACACACACCACTCATATGCACACAAGACACACACACTTCATACAAACACACACACACACACTCATACACACACACACTCATACACACACACACACACTCATACACACACACACACACTCATACACACACACACACAACACACACACACACACACACACACACACACAACACACACACACACACACACACACACACACACACACACATACACATACACATACACATACACATATACACAACACACACACACACACACACACACACACACACCACACACACACACACACACACACACACACACATACACACACACACACACACACACACACACACACACACACACACACACACGTACGTTATCACTCTTTCTCTCTCTCTCTCAAATAATATCAACATTGTTTTTTTTTTTATCAAAATGAATATCAAAAATTTAAGTTCAGATCAAGCCAAACAGGTTGAACAAGAAAACCATATTTTTAGGTATATTTTATTGAACTCAAAAATTAAATAAAAAGAGTACAATGTAGCAAAACTGCCAATAATAAAATATATAGCATTTCCAGCCTAATTATATGAATTTCCTATAAAAATCTCTCTTCTGTTTTTTTTTATCAATGTGCTGACCATAACTGTTTATTTTTTCATCAAAAGGTAATTGGGAATATATGAAAAAATATACACCCACAATCTTCGGGAAAAAATCAGTTGCACATTCTTTTTGTGATAAATTTCATTATCTCAAAATGCTGGTTATCACAACTTTACTGGTAATTTAAATGGGTGATGCAGAGTCAATCGGCTCTAAAATGAAAAATCTCTTTTGTGTTACACTAACTGAGAAACAAAATGGATATTGTGTGTATAAAGCAAAATACTTCTCTGGCAAATATTTCATATCTGAGAGAATAAAACATACCCAGTAATGACTCTTCTAACAGTTGCACTGAGAATAAAAAAGTCAAGTATTTAAAAAACTGTGAAAGTTTAAAATATAGTATGATATGGAAGTCCCTTAAAAAGAAGCAAATAGTAAAATACAGTTTGTAATTACAGTTTCTCTTAAGAAAAAGCATTTCAAGACAAGTTTAAGGCTCTAAGTGATATGAATGTTGATTTGAAAAGATCCTTAGTATTTTCTTGGCCCTGCTAACCAAACCTCAAACTAGTGTAGAATGGAAAAGGTAAAACTATGGCTTCTATTGAAAAAATCAACTACTTTAGTTTCAGTTCTTATTATGGCATGCTCCAACTTGGTAATACTAAAGCAAACACAAGCAGAGAGAGAGAAAAAAATAAATGTCATTTTCTATACCACTTACTGAATGCATGATTTCTTTAGTGAAATGATTATGAAAAATAAAAGAATTTCTGGTGATGTCATTAAATAGAAAACTAAATATTCACAAGAAGCAACTTTAAGCAACTTTTTTCTGTTTTTTGTACATTAACATGATAATAGTGCAGATCTTATCTACAGTATGTGCATGACACATATACAACACTCGGTGCAGCCCAATAACATCACACCAAGAAACATCGTGAAGAACAAGGCTTTTTCTATTAGATCTAATATGCTACACAGTAACCCTCAATACCTGTGCTCCTTTGTTATTAATTCTGCAAATCTTCAGTATACACTAAGATAATATATATAGAGAGATATTCCCTTTATCATCTTTTTTGTTACCAGTTGTCAAGCCACTTCGGTAAGGTCAACTCAAAAGACACTCCTGCTCTTCCTACAGCGACTTTCATGTTTCTTAAGGTACAGGTAGCTGAGAGTCTGAGGTTTTGATATGAAGTGCTCAATATACAGTGATATGTGGTTCGACACTAATTACTGCTGTATGCTATATCTTACATTATACAATGTTGCGGGAGTTATGTATACATGGACTTGTAGGGTATCTATGGTGACCCTTAAATGTAAAAGTTGCTAGATCTATATCCATAGGCAAAATAGATTTTATATATAAAGCAAATAATCTGAATACAAACTTTTATCTATATAATAAGTTTCATAAAACATTTTCTTTTTATTTTCATATATAACAGTATTTTTCGTAACATTTACTCCTATGTACATATTTTCATTTGAGTGGAAGCCTAAAATATATAACATGAAAACAATCTGTGAACTTTTAAAAGTATTAACAATTTTAAGCAGTTTTACACCATGGGATTCAGGGAAGCTCCCCAATATAAATAATGAATATTTGCAAAGTAATAAGACCACAAGTAATTGTCACACACAAACATATACTTACACGCCTGCAAGGTACTGTATCCTGAACTGATAACAAATGCACACACTAAAGCTTTCTACTCCTATGAACTGTAAATGCTACACTATGCATACAGTAGTATGCTTTTCACACATGCTTTCCTTCCTAATAGGTACAGAGCAGAATAATGACATGTACGGCTTATACTACAGGACAACTTCTTTAGCAGTCCCATTCTTCACAAGACAGCATGTCAACCTGCTCTTCGTGACGGTTTTACTGCAAGCCATCATCAGTTTGTATTTTACATTTGGAGTCTGACTGGAAACCTGATAGTTGTGTGCTTTTACACTTTCCTTATATTATGAAAAGTAGTTTTGCCAAATACAAACATGGTGGCCCACAGACTATAAAACCTGGTGCAGAACTTATATCAAAAGACAATTAAATGAATCTAAATCATATTGTATTGTTCTTACTAACTAGTGCATTACAAAGCCATAAAAATAATCACTTTATGGATGTAATAATATAAGCAAACAGTTGCATATGTGTACATCTTTTGCATTATAAATTAAGTAGCAGATGAACATAACATTGCATCTTTAGTTAAGCATAAAAGCTGATACACCTGCATAATGATAAGGGTTTATTGTGCTTAAGATCACAATTCAGTGTCATCCTTATGAAAAAGACAAATCAACTTTAATCATTTTCCATAAATAATCAACACCCTCTAAGTAGCTACTTACAAGAAACATAGACTGTAACCTCCATTCACATCAGTTAATGAACAAACCGCACATTACAGTGTAAAACAACTTTACAAAAGAGACACAACAGCAACTCATAACAGCACACATTAACTTGCTATACTCTTCCCGTATCACATTTCAATAGAGAGAGAACAAAAACAACAACTCTTCTCTTAACCTTCCAACATTAAATGACACTAAGGAAAAACATCCATTGGCACGGAGTTGTAGCGCCTTTACAACTGCTACATATCACAAGTTCCCTGACAGCAGCATTGTGGACGATAATGAAAGAAAAAGGGATAAAATAAAGGAGGGAATTAATCAACAAATCTTAAATGTGCTGTGAGCATAGGCCTCGACATTAGTGTCTAGTGGACGTTTATTATTTTATATGTATGTATATATATAATGCATAGGAACTACAGCAGCTAGTTAAGCATCTATATCATTTGTGGGGGTTCTGAAAGGCTGTTATATATGGAATTCATATACCAAACATATCCTGTTGATATAATATAGGAAATGCTCAATACTCTGTGAGTTCTCATTGTAAAACAGCAGGTGAAGCACCTAAAAATATAGCAGTATATTCATTATATCCATTTTTTTTTCCTTTTTCTTTTTTGATATTTATTTTTTCATATATATGTATGATTGTTCACTAGGTAAATAAATAAATTGATGTTATTTTGTATGTACAAGCCATCTTTTTTCATATTAACATGGGCTCTTTGTTTCCCTAAAAAAATAATAAACAGGTTACAACCAGAGAACTATTATGTAAATTCTAGTACAGTATGAGAATAGATATTCATACAAAACATGATTTGGCAGTTTTGCCATTCCCTTCAAACATTATGCATAATCACCTTCCACAGCTTGAAAATTATGCATGGTTTGCCCTTCAGTAGGAACATGCATCTTATCCTGTGTCCTGCGATAATAAAGCCCTTTTTCCTACTGTGATTCGGTCATTGTTGATCATAAAAAGTGTGAGTAGTTGAAACTATTGTATTGGGTCATGGGATATGAACCTATAACAATCATAACTATATTATCAACCCTCTAGATGGCTGGTGTGTATCAAGCTTCATGGCAGACAGTCCCATACACTCATTTCAAGTGTTTCTCTGGAAATGTCCCTTCTCTAATACGTGAGACACCCATGGGCAATTCATCCTGTTGTGACCATCAAGAGGCTTATACTAGATCAGACTATACCATGATCACAACTACTATCTTATCGATAATAGTTGATCAGTTTAATTCAACTTCTTTCTTTCTTTCTCTCCTCTTATTTTTTCTTTTAATCTCTAATTTCCTGTTTTCACTGACCATTCAGAATTTAAATAGTGTATCATTTCTATTTTTGCAACAGGCTGTAGAGATATGCAAAATTTGTATAAGTAAACATTTTACAAAAGAAAAAAAGTACATTCAAAATAATCATTATATATAATAATCTAAAATCACATACACACTATGACAAAAATAACTGAAACAATAATTCTTTAATAAAAGCAAAACCACAAAAATAACTCAAAAAGAAACACATAAAAAAGTAAGAGTAATAATACATCTAAGCTAACAAAAACCATCAAGGATTAAGAAAATCACTGACGATGTCACAACGTTTCCACCGTTAACAATGTCTTAATGACATACCTATCATCTCATAATAAAAAAATAATTTCAAGTAATACAGTTTGAGAGTAATAAAATGGTCCATTTGATTCTTCAAGTGGATATATCATGTAACAAAACTATTCATGTAAGATGAGAAAATATTATGCAACTAGTATTCTTTTTACTGTCTAAAATACGTACTCCAATATTTGATGAAGAAAAGGGACATTAAACTTTTGTAAATAATAAAACTCAAATCATGACAAAGTATGAAAGAAAAACTGTAATGGGAATAAATGTAAAGTTATGAATGTATGAATACATGGTATGTACATATATACTGAATCATGGGCTATCTTCATCAATTCGTTCCTGTTTTTTTGAAAATAGCTGAAACAGTGATTGTTTGGACTGTTCCTGAGAATTCGATCGTTGGAATTCTCGATTAGACAGACCGCCTTTAACTGGGAATAGGTTGCCAGATGAGACAGTCCTTCGCTTAAACATATCCTGAGCAAGAGTCTGTTTTTGTTCTTTGGAGCTTGCAGAGGGTGGTTTTCTTGAGAACATGTCCGTGAAGTAAGAGCTTTTAGACCTCGGCTGCATTTTGTCATCCCCAGGAACCTGATCGCTTGAGGAGGAGGAGGAAGAGGAGAGCCTGTTGCCAACCAAGAGGTTGCTTGATGAGAGAGTCCTACCCCTGGGCAATTCCCGGACAAAAGGCTTCGGTGAGCCAATGTCCCCGCTTGAGGAAAAGTCTTTACTGCTGAGGTCTGTGGAGGAGAATGTCCTGAGGGTAGAGAGGTCCTCAGCACTTGACTTGCTGAGTTGAGAGGAGGCAGTCCTGGGGAGGAGGAGGTCATCTGAGGAGTAGGCCCTTGCAAGGGGAGCATCTCGGCCACAGAGTAGCCTGCTGTCAGAGCTTGAAGTACGAAGACCTGTGGACTCCTGTAGAAGAAAGATGTTCTATTTCATTTCAACTAATTTATCATCTTATTGCAAAAGCAACATGCATGAATAAAACACCTGCTAGCAAATCAGGTGAAAAGAAAGACAGTCAAAAGGATTACTTTAAGCAAAACAACAAAAAATATAAGGATAAAGATTAAGACTGAATTCATAACTTCTATCTAAGTTTCTTCAGCAAATACTGCTATCTTCGACAGTTTAAAGATGGGGATTAAATCTTTTAAACATATCACATATCAAAAAGCAAAATACATATCATTACCTACCATTTTTCCATGCAAAGACATAAACCCTGGATAATCTGATGCACTCTTCTTGACTCTGGGATCGTTGTCAGTCATGGGGTCACGTGTGCGGATTCCCAACAGCCGGAGAATCACATCCATCTTCTTGGCGTAATCCATATGCCCTGATGACATTAACACACTCTGAATGTGGATTCACATGGCTTTGATATTAGAAATCACAACAAAACAAGACTAGGTGTTATGTAATGAAACAAGCTAACAGAAGACAATAACACAGTAAGACTATCTAATGAGAAACAAAAGGAAGATTCTGATTCATGATTCAAGTATGATCTGCTGACAAATCTGGTCAATAACATGAAATGAATATTTTCTCCAAAAAGCAAATTCCTTTTATGTTTTATACCTTAGAGACATTGCTACACATGTATCAACACAAAAAAAGAAAAAAATGCAGCAACAAGCAGACTATGCAACTGATACCATAAATAATAAACTATATTTTTTAAATTATTGTTCATTTTACTGCTATTGTGAGAATATGAAGGAAATGAGAAATGAGAAAAAAGTAGTGTTTATTGCTGTGAATGATGCACAGGTAATTGCAGTTAAAAGATATGTTGAGATGAATATCTGAAAAAAAAACAAAAAAAAAAAATACAAGTTCAAAAGGCATGACGAATGATGACACACAAAGAAATGCAGAAAAAATACATATACCTACAAACAAACAAACAAATAACACACACACACACACACACACACACACACACACACACACACACACACACACACACACACACACACACACACACACACACACACACACACACACACACACACACACACAACAAAAAGCTACCCCTCTTACAAAAAAGAAAGCCACCAACCAGTAACAATATCAGAAAGATCGAAATTGAACATTCTGCGATCCTGCCAGTCAATGGGCATCAGGCCAGCGATCTTCATGGTGCCAGTCGAAGAACGATACAGAAACCTCAACAGCCAGTCTCCTTGGCAGTACCCGTTGATGATTCGTCCAGATACAATATTACCTGTGTGGAAAAGCCTTTAATAGAATGTCTACCTGATGATTTAAAAAAAAATATCTTACAGTATTTAGGGATGTGTAGTTTCTCTCTTTCTTTCTCTCCCTAAGGTGTTTTGTGTTTTTGATAAGAAATGGTGTCTCTGCTTTGGGATATACAATGTGTGCTATCAAAACATGGGTGTTTTGCTTTATGTATTCAAAGTTACATAATAGAATTGTTTTCTATTTCATAAGACTTGGAAAAGAAAACAGAGTGTACTAACGAAATTCTTTCCAATCAGAGCTGTAGCCCGGCACTGGAGCTCCCAGGAATATGGCATCTTGTATGATTCCTGCACTCCCTTTCCGCCGACTTAATTCCTGTTGACGAGCAATAACCTCTAAATGGTGAAAAACTAGTGATGATCTTTATATAAGATAATAAAAATGGGGTAAATGAAGTAATAACTATTTCAATTCAAAGCATGTTATTACATTTAGCAAAACATTCTACATTTAGGTACACCATAAAACAAATACCTAAGAAATCAAGAACATTAACCTATATTATCCCAAATAAAAGAAAAATCCAAAACTATCCATATCACAAAAAAAAAAAATCCAGAACAACATGCTGCCACAGCAGTGATCTTACCACAAGACAATAATATATCACCCTCGCCCCAAGAGAGAAACCTATTAGGGTCACAGGGCGTTTGCCATGCTGTCTCTGGACAAGGACCTCTGCCAACTGACGCCCCACTTCTGCTGATCTCCGACAGCAGACTCCCCAAGGGTTGTCGATCACTGAGGCAAGAGTGAGGAGGGACGCAGGCCATGTGATTGCTGAAATGATACCTGAAAAAAAGAAAAAGAAAATCAGAGTGACAATTATTCACTCAAAACAGTATACAACCAAAAATAATGAACTTTGTCAGAGGTATTTATGAGGTAGCTAAACCCTACTGTAAGGTTATTATATCACGCTACCATCTCATCTAATCTAGTACTCTTCAACAACCCCCAAGAACCCCAACTGTTCCTCCACACTTTCTCAAAACCCTAACTCGGGAACAGCAAAAAGTTTCTTCAGCAACTTAACCACAACTCACCAGCAAGGATAGTGTACTTGAGAGTCTCCTGAACTGCCATGGATAGAGCAAACTGGAGGAGGTAGTCCATGGCCTGGCCCAGCTCCAGGAGGTACTGGGACTCATAGCGAAGTGTGTACTGAAATCATACGCCTTCGGGTTAGTGTCTTTGGTTAGATACGTTGAGGTCTTGGAGCGGGATTATAATGTAAATTAAGGAGATTGTATGCTGACGGCTACTGACTGAGACAACATGACAGATATTCATGTCTTCTCATGCATGAAGGAGCTTATCTCTTTCCTTTCATTTGCTTTTAAAAACTGTATTACTCTCATTCATCTCTTTTGTCTCTTTCTCTTTCAATCTCTTATTTCCTCCACCTTTCCCATCCTCCCTCCCTTTCTTTCCCTCAAAACTCTAACACCCTCCTTCCCTCCCCTCCCGTCTTTCAACCCCCACTCCTTCCCTGCCCCTCCCTACCCTTAACACCCCCACCCTCTCCTCCCTCCAGTGCCCCAACCCACTCCATCCATACCCAATCCCATCCCCCAACCCACTTTTCCCACCTCATTCCATCCCTCCCCAACCATACCCCATCACCCATCCCACCCTTCCCTCCACCTATCCAACCCCTCAGGTCGTCTCTGTTCGAAACAACCCTGGGTGGAGGAGGCCTGTGGGACGACCTAAGAAGTCGTGGCTTGGGCAGATCGACCAAACCTGCCGTGAAGAACTAGAGATGGGCCGAGTCCCTGCCTGGCGTCTAGCCATGAGGGATCCTCGTAGGTGGAAGCGAAGGGTGGATGTGGCTATGCGCCCCCGTCGGCGTCAGCCCCCTTGATGATGATGATCCAACCCCTCCCCATCTCGTACCCATCCCCTCGCCACCCACTCCATCCCTCCCTCCCTCCACCCATCCATCCCACCCACCCATCCCCCTCCCCCACCCATCCATCCCACCCATCCTCCCTCCCCTCCCACCCACCCTCCCTCCCCCTCCCCCCACCCTCCCTCCCTCCCTCCCTCCCCCCTCCCTCCCTCCCTCCCCCCTCCTCCTCCCCCCTCCCACCTCCTCCTCCCATCCCTCCCTCCCATCCTCCTCCCCC